CTTCCTCACGAAATGCAAAACATGCAAGAGTAGAGGAGAACGACGATGATGATGTTGACAGCGATGCTAAAGGAGTTTCGTTTTCTTGAAATTGAGTTATGACAGGTGGTCGTTGACAGTAATGATCTGCAAATTTTTTGATTTTGTTTTCTAATTCAATTGTACAAATTTTATGCGAAGTTGTTGACGTTGCTTGTTACTTGCTTCATCGATTTGTATTTTTGATGTCCCTGCTTCAAAATAGATTGGAAGTCTACAGGTTGCAGGATTGTTCAATCTGCTGATAAAAAATTCTTTGCTACTTTTTTTATTCATTGTTAGCTCAATGTTTTCGGCATTTATGGTATTTTGTTGATATCCTGCTTACGCAATTTCACCTATCCTATTTAATTTTATACATAAGCTACTTAACCTTGCTTAAGAATTAAACTTTTTGCAAGGCTGTAATCCGTTTATATCTATGCACTAGGCGGGACTGTCTCCCCATTTTTTAACACTGAATCTCTTAGGTACCACAAATCAGAACATTCTTCAAATAATAGCATTATTTAATTTAATTTATCAGTAATTCGCCTATCAGAGAATGCAGATGCAAAATATTTCTCCGCCCGAAAACTTCTTCCTTAAGGTGTTGAGTGCTGCATAAAAAGTATTTTGTTCAATACGCCCATCAGTGTGTATAAACAACATTGCTATTAAATTTCTGAAGTATGCTTATCGCGGGAAAGGCGTCAGCAGTGTAACTGGTGTTTATGACATTGTTTGGAGATTGAATAAAGTTCAGAGGTTGTGCCAAGATGGTGACGTATTTGTTACTGGAAGCCTCCACACATTCCAATCTGTTGGATTTGATTCACTTTTGTGTAAGTTCCATATTAGTTGAGAATTTTTCAACGGATTTTAAATAACTCCATTCTTTCACAAGTTAAGTTTTTGTGTTTTTGCTGTTTAGGCAGAAAAGTCGCTGAAATTCACCGTCGCAACAGAATTACGCCAATTGTTCTCATGTGACTGTATGCATATGGATAAAAATCGTACAGCAGCAGAGACAAGTTCTTCTGCTAATAACCATTTTGTAATAAAGTAGGTGATGCTCTCTAAGCCGTTTATCCTCATATCAATTGCTTCAAGGCGTTTATTTTTATCTATTTTTTAGACATAGTATTGCAGTGATGATGCAGAACAACCGGAATCTATTTCCTCTCATCCAAGTCCATCCTCGGTGCCTGCTGCGGTACTCTTAGAAGAAGCAATTTCTTCTACAAGCCATGTAAAACAAGAAACTCGCGAAGAATTGGAAAGTTGGGAAAATGAGCCCACTATAAGTTCTGAAACAAATGCCAGTCTCATAGCATCTGAAGCGCCTTTAGAGGAGAGGGTGAGATTTGCTAGAATAACGAATGCAAGTGGGAAGTCACCATTTTTAGGTGACACATCTTGAAAATATCGTGCAAAACATGGAAACTAGGATTTTGAACCTGGAGCATCCAGCTCTGGCTGCAAGCTCGAAAAAACCTTTGTTTGGCAACAAGGCAGTAAAAAGCTCACCACGATATCGTTTCAATTCACCAGGGCCAAGATTCAAAGGTACAGCACTTTTGTCTTTTTTATGTTTATGCGAAGCATTTTTTCTTATAGATTTGGATCTTGTGTTTGAGTACAATACTTGGCGCACATTCGTCCCACAGCTTTTCCTCATGAATGAAGAGAAAAAACTGAACTCCTTTATCAAACATATCTTCTCAAGAGTATGTGATTTATAATCTTTTTTGGATATTTTTTATCACAAGAGTTCATATTGCTATTTTCTAGGTTGTTAATAACGAATCAGACGAAATGCTGTTCATTACAAAACGAGAAGGCGAGGTTAATAATTTGGCGCGAATTCCAAATGAACTACGCCAAGTCCTAAGAGGTTTGTCACGGTTTTTACTATTGTGCAGTGCAAATTCACATTTTCGTTCGGTTATACTTTGTTTTACTTCCAATCAGGACAAGTGTTTAGATTTCATTGTTGATGTGTACGATCCACCTGATAGACCTACACTTGAAGCTGTCGTACTGAAATGCATGAAAACAGTGGCGTAAGTAAACAAAGTATAGTATTTTGTGTGCACATTTTGTGATTGCACATTATATAGTGTCTGATACATGTCAGAATATTTTTTTGCAGTGATAATATCACACAGACAACAGTTCAAAATCGAGAGGAGGTTAACAATAGAGATAATAACAGGTTATTCTTTCCTTACAGCTTTATTTTTCTTCATACAGTCGGTTTTTTTTTTTTTGAAAATATGCTTGGTTGGCGTGGTGCACCGTAATACTCAAATTATAACTTTTGCCATAAGCGCCGCTGCATTTTCTCATTTTACCCTTCTCTCAACCCTAGTAAGCTACAGTACACTGTATGTTCAATTGTATGATTATAATATCAGTCTGAGACTACAGGAAGCGGAAACTCCCTGGACAGCTGCCAGAGGCATACCAGCCTGCTTCGACTACTGTGAAACAAGAAGATGGTCCTTGCAGCTCATTAGGTATGATTTATCTTGCTTAATGATATTTTACTTCAAATTCATTCTTGGAGTCAGTGTGAGGGAGCATGTTGCAACTCTCAAATAGTTATCGTCAGTTTGAAACTTTATTCTTTGGATGAATATATTAGTATATTATATATTGAACACAGCAGGCGTGTGCTTCAGATGACCTGATGACTTTGATTCAATGCAGAAGCTGCAAGCGATTGAAAAGAGTTTTGTTCCTATACTCCTCCCTCCATTCTTCTTCCTATTATTTTCCAAAAGCGCTTTGTTTTTATTCTTATGCTTTAAATTCCCTGCCCCCCCCCCCCCCCCCCCCCCCCCCCCCCC